CCCTGGAGGCAGGACACAGAGAAAATGCTTTAACTTAATTTATTTATGTATGGCCATGCCGTGCTGACACGTGGGATCCCAGCTCCCCGACCCAACCAGCAATTGAAACCGCACCTCCTACATTGGAAGCTCGGAGTCTTAACTACTCTATTGCCAGGGAAGCCCAGAACATGCTTTTAAAGCTCATTTTGCACCCCTCTCATGCCATCTCACACAGCTTGGCAAAAGTCTAGCCAAATAATAATCTCCAGCATGAGTAAGGGTGGCCAGAAGGAGTCATACTGATCGCTATGGTCAAGTGCACGAATCACGGGCAAGATAGCCAGTTGGAATCTCAGCTCCCGTGTTTCTTAGCCACCTGACTTTGGGCTTGGAAAGGCTAGACGTGCATCTGATCACACCCCTAAGCTGCCACCCTCACCCCCCATTCTGTGTTGGTGCTGCTAATAGTTATCTGTTGTTGGATGCCAACCAGAGACCACGGACCAAATATACTTAAGAGTAGAAAGTATTAGGGAAAAAACTTAGGGAGGAGTTTACGGCAGTTTCACCTGGTTATTTCAAAGACACCCATTCATTCAGAGGGACATTCCGTTTTAGCCTATATTCAAGGAGACTGAAAGCTCCTTCAACAGGAACCGTGAGGCTCCACCTTGACGAGACATCCCGACCTATGATCTGCAGCTTTTCCATGTTCCCTGAACTAAACGAGAAAACACAGCTGCAGACCAAATGTGGAGCATCCTTGCTTTTTGGCGGCCACATGTAAGAGCTGTGCAACAGCGCACCATTAGGCAAATTAACAGCGTCCTGGTGAACGCAGCCGGGCACCTCCGGGCCGGAGCAGTGCTCCCTGCCTGCTTCAGAAGCAGACTCACTCCAGGTCGGCAGGAGGCAGGGCATTAATGAATGCTTCTCTGCACTTGCTTTCCTTTGATTGCAACTAATTTGAATAAAAATATCATTTTTAAAAGCAGTGGACCTGAAGAAACATGTGTCACAGAAAATCATAACCCCCTTTTCATACCCCACTCCCAAGGCAACCCAGAAAATCTCCATGAGGGACTCCACGTAGAGACTGAATGCCTCCTGACTGATGTTTGGCTGACTGACGGGCCAGGTACGAGGAGGAGCGGGGAAAGGCGAGACAGTCTCCCACACGTGCTGCCGGTGTGTCCTCTCAGGCCGCAGAGGACTGAGCAATTACAGAATATTATTTCAGCAAGGGAGCATGACTGCAAAGAAGCCACTCTGCATAGCACGTACAGCCCAGCAGAAAGGAGGGGAAAGAACGTTGAGGTGTTCGGGGCCTTCAAAGTGTGCAAAGAATGGTCAGTTCAGTCTCTCTGGTTTTTTTCTTTTTTAAGAACCCAACTGCTTCATTATAGAAATCTCTTCTATGACACCATCTTAACGCACTTAGGAAAAAACACTGTTCTTATTCTTAGAGCAACAATGAAGATAAAATAAAGAAAGATCGATAAACAGCAATGTAAGCGTCCTCTACTTCAGCCAAAATCCTTAACGGGGAAAGCAATTCGTGTCATATGTTATGTCCCCCTTTTTTAACTATGACCCTACAAACACTAAACAAAAAAAAGAGTACAAATATACAAATAGGGCCTCCCACCCACCTGTGAATCACATTTATTATTTTAATGATTTAATGTTTATGTAGTAGCTTTCCCTGGAACAGTTTGCGTGAAAGCATATTTCCCAATTTCTCCAGTGAAGCGGGCAGGGCAAACCAGAAAGACGTGAATCTCTGATCTTGAGCGTGACTGTGCTTTTAACCTGTAGGTTGGCATTAGAGCCTCTTCTGTGTTTAATTATGTATCCCCGCCCCCCAAAGACATTCAAAGCCTACTCTCTAGGCCTTGTGAATGTGCCCTTATCTGGAATTGCAGTCTTGTGGATGATTAAGATGAGTTCATCAGAGTGGGCACTAATCCTATATAGCTGTCCTCATAAAAAACAGAAATTTAGACACAGAGACAGACCCACATAGAGGCAAGCCAGGTGAAGACAGGGAGCGTTACACCCACACGCCAAGGGATGCCCAAGGCCACAGGAGACTCAGAGAGAGGAGGGGCAGACGCCCCCTCACCCCTCGGAAGCAGCCAGCCCTGCCTGGATCTCTGGCTTGTTGTGGCCAGAAGTGCAAGACAGTGCATCTCTGTTGTTTGAAGCATCCAGCCGGCCCTTTGTCGTGGCAGCCCGAGGAAACAGCGGGGGTGGTGCTCAGTCGCTCAGTGGGACCTGACCCCTTGCAGCCCCGTGGACTGTGGCCCGCCAGGCTCCTCCGTCCATGGGATTCTCCAGGCAAGAATACTGGAGCGAGTTGCCATTTCCTTCTCCAGGGGAATCTTCCCAACCCAAGGATTGAACACTTCTCTCTTGCATCTCCTGCACTGGCAGGCAGATTCTACAAGTCTTCAACTCTGTGGCTATAAAGTAAGATACAGTGTGTTTAAACAAATCCCTTCTTATCAGAGAAGTGAATAAATTGTATCTTCTAAGGAATAACTAGGGGAAAAGAATAACAATGAAACTGTTCTCTGGAGACCATCTCATTCACCCAGTAACTACAGAGTTGTCTGATTTATAACCAGACTTATTCCATGAGTTGTTTCTCTGTAGACTTTCAACAATGCTAGGGTCTAAAGTGTGATTAGAGCACACGGGCCTCTTGAGTAAAAGCAAGTTATGTAAAGATAATGGTTTGATTAGGCCACTTACAATCAAGATTTAAGTGATCTTAATATACTTTTATTCACTAATTTTACCATGGAGGCAAAACCCTTAATTCTCACTATTTTTTTTTTTCTGTTTTGTCTTGGTTTTGGCTGTCCGTCTATATAGGTAAGAAGATGGAGGAAACTCCTCTTCTTCCCATAGCTGGTCTGAGAATCCCCGGTTCTCAGATGTACATTCCGTTTGCGCCTCTAACTCTGCAGTCCACACTTCTCTGCGTGCTTTATGCCCCAGGAAACCGACCCATCAGACGTCACTGTCAGCCCCGGCCTGCTGCCTTCTGGCTGGGTTTGGGGCGAGGGTGGGGTGGGGTCAGGATGTGAGGCTTCAGCTGGCATCCTCCAGCTCCACCCAGGCTGCTCATGCCTACAGACCACAGCTCTGGTCAGGCTGCCCTGGCTTTGGGTTTGCCCCCTCCCCTGGCCTCTGGGATCTGAAGGGGGTGCAACAGCCATCAGTGCTGGGTAACAAATCAGCACAAGCGTGGTGGCTTAAAGCAGCACACGTCAGTACCGCACGGTCTTCCTCCACTTGGGTTGCTAGAACCATGTGCCACACAGTGGGTGGCTTAGGAACAACAGACGTTCATTGCTCACAGTGCTGGACGCTGGGAGGTCTGAGGCCAGGGTGCCAGCGCCCTTGGGTTCTGCTCAGGGCCCTCTTCCAGGGGCAGATAGCCATGTCCTATTTTGGGGAAATTTTTATTTTAGATGGGAGTATAGCTTATTAAATGGAGAAGGGAATGGCTACCCATTCCAGTGTTCTCGCCTGGAGAATTCCATGGACAGAAGAGCCTGGTGGGGCTACAGTTCATGAAATCACAAAGAGTCAGGCACGACTGGTCTACTAACACTTTCACTACTTTTCATAGCCTATTAACACTGTTGTGACAGTTTCCGGCGGACACCAAGGGCACTCAGCCATACATGTACAGGTATCCATTCTCTACCAAACTCCCCTCCCACCCAGGCTGCCACGCGCCGTTGAGCAGAGTTCCCTGTGCCCTGCGGGAGGTCCTCGTTGGTGGTTCATTTTAAATACAGCAGTCTGTTCTCATGACATCCTTACATGGCAGAAAGGGGGCAAGAAAGCCCTCCAGGTCCGTGTTATGAGTGCACAAACCCGTCCACAAGGGCTCCACCTCCATGAGCTAATCACCTCCAAAGGCCCCACCTTCCGACCCCGTCACACTGGGTTCAGGAGGGGGACACACACATTCAGCTCACGACACGGCTCCTATGCGTCCGAGTCTGGGATCAGCGGGCTCCTCCAGCCCGGGTCTCCCAGGCAGCGGCTTAGGAGTGGCCCGGTGCTTCATCTCTGGAGCCTGGGGGCTTCTTCTAAGCTCACGTGATTATTGGCAAAATTTAGTTTCTCGTGATTAAAGGACTGAAGTCCCTGCTTTCTTGCTGCCTGTCAGCCAGGGGCCCCTCCTGGCTCTCAGAGGACACTGGACTTCCCTGCTTCTTGGCCCGTCTCCCAGCAGGGCAGCCCCCTTCCCCTGGGCCGGCAGGAGAACCTTCTCCATCACCCAGACCACACTGCACACTGCGTCTCTGAACCACAGGAGGGGTGTCCATCACTCTGCTCTCTCCTACTGGCTAGAGGCAAATCGCAGCATCCAGCCACATTTAAGGGCTAGGTAAGGCTGAGCACCGAAGGATGGATGGTCCTGATGCTTGGTGCAGAACACTCTTGAGAGTCCCTTGGATGCAAGGAGATCCAACCAGTCCACCCTAAAGGAAATCAGTCCTGACTGTTCATTGGAAGGACTCATGCTGAAGCTGAAACTCCAATACTTGGGCCACCTGATGCAAAGAGTTGACTCACTGGAAAAGACCCTGATGCTGGGAAAGATTGAAAGCAGGAGGAGAAGGGGACGACAGAAGACGACATCTGTCATCTTGGTTGGATGGCATAAGTGACTCAATGGACTTGAGTTTGAGCAAGATCCGGGAGAGAGCGAAGAACAGGGAGGTCTGGCGTGCTGCAGTCCATAGGGCTGCAAAGATTCGGACACGACTGAGCGACTGAGCCACAAGCCACATTCAAGGGAGGAGGCGTCAACGGGGTGGTGACTCGCTGACGGTCACCTGAGGATTCTGCCTGCCCCGGGGTAGAAAGTCAGCCCGCCCTTCCCACCTTGAACTTATTTCCCAGAAACCCTGCCTGCGCCTTTGCAAACGGCCCCTCAATTAAACCCTCCTGAAATCACCCCAGCAGAGCGCTCCATCTGTTCCCGCCAGGACCCTTCTGGTACACCCCTCTGTCAGTGGCGGGCCCTGATGAAGGGCCCTGCAGGGGTCTTCTGAGCGCCTGGGCCAGCTGGTGGCAGGGCTTGGGGGAGCTGAGGGCAGCTGAACTGCTTAGCATCACAAACAGGAGGGAGGCCCTGTTTCCACTTGTCTGGAGGCAGCGGAGGCGCTGGGAGAGGGGGCTCTGCATCTGGAAGCCAATTCGAGAGGTGCCTCAGGGGGCGCGTGGGGCGGGCTCGCCCCCGCCTCACTGGCGTCTTCTCCGCAGGGAGCAGAGGGAGAAGGCGCCCTGCTCTGAAGCTGGTTCGGGCGGAGCAAAGGGCCCTGAAGACGCCGGGGCATGGTCCCGAGCACCCGCACACCGATGCCCGCTGCACCGCTTCCATCAGTGCGGCCAAAACCCGTCTTCTCCATCCTAGAATTTTCTTTAACATTTCTTTTTTTTTTTTTTTTTTTTAGTTATTCTACTTTTGAACCTTTTCCCATATTTTTTAGAAACTTTTTTTTGTCAAATGTTTCCATAGCATACTGAGTGAAGGAAGTCAGAGAGGAAGAACTATTGTGTGACATCCCTTATATGTGGGGTCTAAAGAGGAATGATACAGATGAATTTATTTACAAAGCAGAAATAGACTCACAGACTTAGAGAATGAATTTAAGGTTGCGGGGATCTGAGGGGAGGAGGGGATAACGGAGTTTGGGATGGACAGGTACACACTGCTGCATTTAAAATGCATCACCAAGGAGGGCCTACTCTACAGTGCAGGGAACTCTGCTAGATGCTATGTGAGCCTCGATGGGAGGGGAGTCTGGGAGAGAAGGGATGCACTTATACAGATGGCTGAGTGGTTCTGCTGTCCACCTGAAACTATCACATCGTCAATCGGCTATAATCCAACAGAAAATCAAAAGTTAGACTTAAAAAGAGTGTCTGTGTTCCTAGACCACTGGTCAGCACACACAGGTACGCTCTGGCTGGCTCTTGCAAACTTGCCCTGTTACTTCACACTCCACATTTGAGGTTATTTCACTAACTGTCACACGTGATAATCTCCAGATTCACCTTCAAGCCCTCAGAACAGGGCCTCCAGGCCAGCAGCACCAGCCCCATTGGGGCACGCATGGGAAATGCAAAGGCTTGGGCCCACAGATCTACTGCAGCTGAAACTCTGGAGGTGGGGCCCCGCAGTTGAGGTGATGCTGACACGTGCTGTCCTCTGAGCCCCTCAGGCTGGAAGCACAAGCATGAAGGATTTAGTGACTTGCGCTTGTGCGGTGAAGGGTGGTGCCCTTTAAAAACAGACAGAAGAAGAGGGAGGGAGGAGGGAGTAGGGAGGAGGGGGAAGGACAGAAAAAGCAAGAGGATCAGTCTTACTCCTCCAGTAACTGAGAAGCAGTGACACGCTGTGTGTGTGTGTGTGTGTGTGTGTGAGTCGTTCAGCCGTGTCCGGCTCTCTGTGACCCCACGGACCGTAGCCCTCCAGGCTCCTCTGTCCACGGGATTCTCCAGGCAAGAAGACTGGACGGGGCTGCCATTCCCTTCTTCAGGGGTCTTCTCGAGCCAGGGATTGAACCCGGGTCTCGCGCAGACTCTTTTCCACCTGCACCACCAGGGAAGCCCGCTGATGTGCTGGTACTTGTCCAAAACGGGCTTTGCAGGGTGTGCTGTGTGGAAGCGCAAAGCCCTGCTTTACACTATTTGCCAGTTTCCATGGTGGAACTGACCTATTTCAAGTTACAAATGTGAGGCTGCAGGACACAGAATGGGGATCTTGGAAGCTGGCGTGAGTAGGCTTCACTGCGTGTTCAGGTTAAGAAAAGGGCTTGTGCAGTGGCCACTGTTAAATCCAGTCAATCTCCCCAGGTTTGTTTCTCAGGTTGAAATATCCCCTTGTATCAGGGTTTCCCAACCTTGGCACTGCTGACATTTCGGACTAGACCATTCTCCGCCGTCTGTTAGACGATGTTTAGCAGCATTCCTGGCCACTCCCTACAGGATTCCAGCAGTTCCCTCTCCCCACCCAGCTGTGACAACCAGAACTCTCTCCGGACATTGCCAAGCGTCCCTCTGGTGGCAAAATTGCTCCCAGTTAAGAATCACTGCTTTATATTGGCAGTCCAACCTTTTTCAATTTTTTAAATTTACCTCCATCCTTTGGATTATTTTAGTCCCACCACCACATCTAACTCTGATGGCTTTCCTTCCTCTGCTAACTCTATCTAGAGTGGAGGTGACTTTCTGGCTAGTGGGGCAGACTTGGCTTATCATTCATTCATCCTGGTGATGATGATGGTGATGGAGACTTCTCTGCTCAGTGGCCTGATTCTGGTTTCCAGTTTGGGGTATTACAGGTGGTGCTATTTGTATGTCAGTCACGTGTCTTCCTACCTGCAGCTGTCTCCTTGCTCTTTCTTCTTATCCATCTGCAGAGGGTTAGACATTACTCTTTCTTCTCCTTTCACCAGACCAGGGAGTAAAATGATTTGTTTTGTTTGTCTCTAATCTCCTTCTCCTTCTCTACTCTCTGCATCTTCATATGATGTGAAAGCCCTTCCAATATGTCAGACATTCAGTAGTATTTACCAATCTTGGACATTAAAATAATCATCATTGGGACTTCTTTTCCCTCCCTCTCAGACTCCAGAGGTTAAGACTTCACCTTCCAAAGTGGAGGTTGTGGGTTCAATCCCTGCTCGAGGAGCTAAGATCCCACATGCCTTGTGGCCAAAAAAACCACCAAAATATAAAACAGAAGCAGAATGGAAACAAATTCAGTAAAGACTTTATAAAAATGATCCACACACAAGAAATCTTTAAAAAAAAATTAAAAATCAGTATTAACTGATCTGTGAAACAGCAGAAGTGAGGAAGGCAAGTAAAACTGATGCCGTGCTGGTGGCAGAGAGACGCTCACCTCTGGAAGCAAGGCTCGGAGCATGTCCAGCGGCGGGGCACGCCGACGCACGTGCTGCCCGAGAGTTGCTAGGCAATGCCACGTGTCCGCGCCAAGGCGGCTCCGGCCCTGCGCTTTGAGATTGTTTTAGTGGTGCAGCTCCGCAGCTTCCCTTCAGCAGGTCCAGATACTGGAGAGCTCACTGTCCGGTCAGGCTTAAGATATATGAAATTATTTTTAAAGGCATTTTAAAAAATGACTGTCTTAAAAAAGTTATTTTAAAGTACTTTAAAAACTGAAGGTTGGAACAGATGACCTCTGATAGTCCCTCCCAATTTAGAATTCTATAAAGGGCAAAAATACTTTAAAAATACTTCAAATACTTTTAATACTTAAAATATTTTAATACTGTGATAAAAATTAAATGAACCAGCAGTGTAATGTTTTCTATTTGAAACATTTCGTATAATTGTTTCCAGTTATTGCTTCTAATTAGTCTTTTTCCTTGGAAGGAAAGTTATGACCAACCTAGATAGCATATTGAAAAGCAGAGACATTACTTTGCCAACAAAGGTCCATCTATTCAAGGATATGGTTTTTTCAGTAGTCATTTTATGGATGTGAGAGTTGGACTATGAAGAAAGCTGAGTGCTGAAGAATTGATGCTTTTGAATGGTGGTGTTGGAGAAGACTCTTGAGAGTCCCTTGGACTGCAAGGAGATCCAACAAGTCCATCCTAAAGGAAATCAGTCCTGCATATTCATTGGAAGGACTGATGCTGAAGCTGAAACTCCAATACTTTGGCCACCTGATGCCAAGAGCTGACTCATTTGAAAAGACCCTGATGCTGGGAAACATTGAAGGCAGGAGGAGAAGGGGACGACAGAGGATGAGATGGTTGGGTGGCATCACCAACTCGATGGACATGGGCTCTGGGAGTTGGTGATGGACAGGGAGGCCTGGCGTGCTGAAGTCCATGGGGTTGCAAAGAGTTGGCCATAACTGAGCGACTGAACTGAACTGAGTCTTTTTCCAATCCTTTCCTGCAGAAAGACAGGCGGGGTTGGTATGTCATTTATCCCTGCATTCATGTCTTAACCTGAGGATCAGCACTGTGGCAGGAATGGAGTCAAGCCCTGGATACAAGGAGCTTCCTAACCTGTCAGAAGATACAGAGACAGGTCAGTACAGATCAGGGTAAGGATGCCTCCACAGGCACGTGGCTCCTAGAGCTCAGGGCAGGGAGCTTGAGGATGCGGCCAACAAAGGCTTCTCGGATGGTGAACGTAGGAGCTAGGGAGCTGGAGAGGAAGGAAAGGCACAGAGGCGAGTTATGGCAAAGGCATGGATGGCCACAGCCAGAGACGCTGTAACATAAAGGCAAGAGGAGCCAGTGGAGGAGCAGTTAGGAACCTGATCAGTGAAAAAGCTTAAGGTGGCAGGCAGCCTCCAAAGAACTGAAAGCAAGAAGGACAGGATCATGTTTGCATTGAAGGCTCATCTCTTTGGCAGCTGAGGGAAGGAGTTAGGGAATGATGGGGTGGGGCTGAGCGAGAGAGACTGGTGATGATGCTGGCTCCGTGGTCCACGAGAGAAGGCTTCAGGCCTGGATTCAGACCATGGTAATGAGGGTGGAGGAAACCAGGCACCCCTGACAACCCCCAGCAGGCTGGGCAGAACTGAGCGACTGTCTGGGCGCTGCCAATGAAGGCCAAGAAGGACTTGAAGTGACACTCAGGTTTCTGACCTAGTGACAAGTGGGATACCATCTGTGATCAAGAACGTAGGAGGAGTAATTTTGGTTCTCCTTTGTGTATATGAGATGCTTATCTATCTATCCATCTCATATGCAATAGAATATCTGAGTCCTTTTCTTAGGAAGGGAAAAACATGCTAGATAAACAGATCTGGGAATCAGTGCATGGATGTTGAAACAACGGGGTCGCCTGGAGAGAATGTAACAAGGACTATGGGTGGAGCATTTGGCCTTGGGGGATCCTGGGGTTTAAGGAATGAGTGGAAGACATCAGATTGTAAAACCGATAGAGAACAAAGAATGATAAACGCCAGGAATCATAAGCTAGGAAGTGTCTCAGAAGTTGAGGGAAGCAGGCATTTCATGAAAGAGGGATAAGTTAAGAGTGAACAATGCCTCAGAAAGACAAGCACCTGATTAAAAGCACCTGCTGCTCAAAGCAACTGGGCAGCCAGAGGCAGTCTTTAAGGAGCGGACTTTTCACAGAAACCAGAACGCAGGGGTCTGTGGGGTCAAAGGAAGGTGAAGAGGAGACAGAATACAGGCAGCTCTGGAGATAGGAGAGCCGTCAGCCAGAGACGCTTTTCTTCTTAGATGGCAAGACGAGAATCGTGTGTCCTCTAAGGCAGACAGAGCACAGGGGAACATAGAGAGATCAGACAAAGGAAGGGATGGGTCCACATCTGACAGGCGGGTGAGTGACATCACAGAAATGAAGGAAGCACAAAAGACAAATGCAATTTACAGATGCCTGGGGCACAGGGCGGAGGCTCAGCCAGCAGCAAACAGACCCGAAACCTGGGAGAGGAAGCGGAGGAGGGAGAACCCTCAATACCAAAGCCTGAGAGTCTCCAGCGGCGGCTTGCAGGCTTGGCTGCTCTGAGGCATGTGGGGTCTTAGCGCCCCAGCCAGAGACTGAACGCACTGCCCCGCACTGCAGGGCAGATTCTGAGCCACTGGACCACCAGGGAAGCCCCAGCTTCTAGAGCTCAGATAGCTGATCTCTCCTCAGATCCCCTCTGATAATAAACAGTGAGATGCTTTGTGGCCAGGAGTGATAATCTCTCTCAGGAAAAAATGCAAGATAAAATCATCTCTGGGCACTGTCAACAGGAACATCCAGCCTTCTGCACAAAAACATTTCGTCTTCCACCACTGCAGAAGGTCTATAGACTCCAAGGGCTCAGATCACCACCATCATTCATCTCAGATTTGTTCATCTCACATAATTTTTAGAATGAGTGAAAGTGTGTGTTACTCAATCAGTCATGTCCGACTCTTTGCAACCCCATGGACAGAAGGCCCCCAGACACCTCTGTTCATGGAGAGTCTCCAGGCAAGAATACTGGAGTGGGTTTCCATTTCCTTCTCCAGAAGGAGGTATTAATCAATGAATAACTGAGTTAATGAGTATTAAGGTTATAATTATTGGATTAATCAATTAAAGCACAATCATGCCCAGCTCTTATCCTGGGTCAGGATGGGCAAGTGCTTTATCCCCCAGAGACCCTAATTCAGAAGCTGGTAAAGCACAGCCGTCTTTGCTCAACAAGACTGATTACGTTAGCTCAGAATGTCAGATTCTCCTAATGTCCCCCCTGGAACAGCAGAGCCTCTAATTATACACGGTCTGTTGGTTAACTGTAAAAGTAGGGGCCCAACAGCTACGGAGAAGCAGAATTCTTTCGGGAAATCAGCCTCATTCAGACGGAGCGCTCCTCCTACAAAGGGCTGTCCACTGACCGCCGTCCGATCCCCCCACCCTCGGTTCATTCAGCACAGAAATGTGGGTTCCTGGATCACTAGATGAGGAATATGCATTGTTCCAGGAACTCTCTTCTATTAAACAGCGAACTTGACACACAGAAGATAGATAAACAGGAAGGTCCTACTGTACAGCATGGGGAATGATATTCAATATCTTGTAATAAATTATAACGAAAAAGAATCTACATACCCATGTGTATGTATAGCTGAATCACTCGACTGTACACTAGAAACTATTACAACATTGTCAATTAGCTATATTTCAATAAAAAAAGTTTTAACTACAAATAAAAAGCAAATTTTATTCCCTTCTGCATCAGCGGCAAGGGTTTGTGTGGGGCCACTATGTGTAAGGACTTCCCAGGTAGTCCAGGTGATAAAGAACCCACCTGCCAATGCAGGAGGCATAAGAGACTCGGGTTCCATCTCTGGGTTGAGAAGATTCCCTGGAGGAGGGGCTGGCAACCCACTTCAGTGTTCTTGCCTGGAGAATCCCATGGACAGAGGAGCCTGCTGGGCTGCCGTCCACGGGGTCGCAAAGATTCAGACATGACTGGAGCAACATGGCACGCAGGCACATCAGGTGTAAAGAACGCCAGGCTGGCCCACCTCATACTCAGATAACGGCCTCTCTGAGCTTTACCCCGCAGTGGGGGGCACCACACCACCCCCAGGCCCGCCCCTTCCTCCTGGGCCCCTCTCCCCTCGGGTCCTGGAGAACCGCGGTGGATGTGGTAACAGAAGTGACATTCTGGCATTTGTGGGTCAGCCTACAACTTACCATGACTCATGCAGTTTCTATGGGAAAATACTTTCTGGGGCTTAAACCAACAATTTACAACTTGCACTCAAGTAGTTCTGTTGCCTTTAGAATATATCTTCCTGGGGTTCTGTGTAAAGGAAGGTTCATAATCATCAAAATGAACAGTGAAAGAGCTGAGCTCAGGGTTAATGCTCTGAGAATCTTCACGACAACATACATCAGTGTGTGAGGAGATAAAAATAGTCACCTTACTAGTACCGTCTGGGGTCAGATGGGCACTGGAATTCTCAGCTGTACCATGGGGCTGCAGGGATCAAATGTGTTTCTGTGTTATTCAGTCGCTAAGTCATGTCTACCCTTTGCCAATCCATGAACTGTAGCCCGCCAGGCTCCTCTGTCCATGGGATTCTCCAGGCAAGAATACTGGAGTGGGTTGCCATTCCCTTCTCCAAGGGATCTTCCCACCCCAGGGATCAAACCTGCATCTCCTGCATTGGCAGGTGTATTCTTTACCACTGGAACCATCAGGGCAGCCCCAGGGATCAAATGAGATGAAGTGAAAGTGCTTTTGAAGTTGTCAAGTGATACATAAATTCAAGTATTTTTATCTATGGTGCATTTGTACAAGGGAAGCCTCTAGAGAAGGAATTCGTCAGTTTTAGTCCTGGCTTTGAACCATTGTGGCTCAGATGGTAAAGCGCCTGCCTGCAATGTGGGAGACCCAGGTTCGATCTGAGTTGGGAAGATCCCCTGGAGAAGGAAATGGCAACCTACTCTTGTATTCTTGCCTGAGAAACTCCATGGACTGTTGCCTGAGGAGACTGGCAGGATATAGTCCATGGAGTTGCAAAGAGTTGGACACGACTAAGCGACTTCACTTTGAACATTCCATTCTATTTGAGATGTTAATCCTTTATTCTATTTGTTCTATCCTAGCTATGGGAACTTGTGCAAGGTACTTAACTGCTCTCTGCTGCATTATCCTGTTAGATATAATAACAGTAACTGTCGGAAATGATGGTGGTGAGGATTGAAACATTAATTGTGCCGGGCACATAGCAAGTGCTAGGTAAGTATCAGCTCTCACCCGCGTCTTCCTCATCTTCACCTGCAGCAGCGCCAGCGCTGGTGAGAGGCAGAGCGGGTCTAATGGGAAGACCACAGCCTGGGCAGACAGCAGGCCAGGAGGTCAACAGTGCTGAGTAGAGTTGACTGTTCTCATTATTGAGTTGATTGTTCTTATTATTTTTACTATATGCAGTGGCTTTATTGGTCATTCAAGAGGAAACTTGGTTTCAGATTTTTGTGTCTTTAGGCTTCTCCACCTCTAGCTAAAATTCTGAATGACACTGTTTTTCTTTCCATTTGCTGCTCTTGTTTTCAGTCCACAGGCAGAGGGTGTGGTCTAAAGGCCTGAGGCTCCTCAGCAGAGACGCTGATAAGAACTCACCTAGGCTTGCATCCTCACCTGCAGCTGTCAACCTCAGGTTAACCCCGAGTGCCTTTATCTCCATGCCCTCTGCAAACCCACTGAGAGAGTCGTAAAGGAATTAAAGAAGCGAATGGGAGAGGAAATGAAAAAAAAAAAAGTCAACAAAATTTGGAAAGATAATGATGGAACCTCATTTAGCTTCAGCTTTCTCCATTCTGCTAAGTGTCTATGCTTAGAGAAGCCACAAACCATCAATGGAATCCACCATGAATCCTCTAAAGGCTGAGGGTCTGAAAGCATCGGCTGTGTCTGAATCCAGAGGTTGGGATGGGGCTGAAAGCAAGAGGGGTCACTCATTAGAAGGACCCAGACCCATGATTCCGTCCCTTCACCCCTCTCCACCCGGCCGGGGCTGTGGCTCCTCCACCATCAGCAGGTGTCAGATTGGTTCTCTGCGCAGGCTGACCCTGAGACACTCTGATCGGGGGGCATCGGGGGCATGAAGCCCAGAAGAGGGAGGAAAACAGAGCCCCACGGAGAAGCGCGAGACTCTTGGAGTCGCATCCACAGGTCAGGACCCCCA